TATTTTGCGACAGATGTCATTTGAATTTGAGGGTTTAGTAACATCGGTAGGAACATTTGCTGCCCACGGAGTAAGCACCCTGGAACCGGTCAAAAAATATAGTCCCGCTGGTATTATTCGCAGTTAAGTGAATCCCCTGCAGTGAATTGACTTTTGAAACATGTGTAGCATCAGTTTGTGTCAAATCCGCATTTATATTTGTATTTTTCTTCGAAGTAATTAATCTGTCGTATTTCAGGAAAGTTGAAGTAAAACCATTTCAAAAAGCTTGATCCAAATACTGAGTTCAATGAAATATCGTAATCTAGGGTGCTGTTTGACACTAAAAAAAACTAGTTATATCATTTATAACATCTATGGTGAAGTACTACTTCGTCATACGGGACCCATTTCCTTCATACGCTTCAAAAACAATGAAGGCAATCAGCTAAATTCAACATTTATGTATCTAATTCTTTGCTCACGAATTAACTTACGACTGATGTTCTATAACTTCTACGGGATGTCGAATAACCGATTGAAGGGGTATGCCGAACCGATGTCGAGTATGAATAAATAGTGCCACACCCTATCAATCTCTTCCTGAATATTTACGTGAGACCATGATCTTAATTTAGTGTTCTTCGAAACATTTCCTTAGAACATTATACGCATTTTGTTGTTGCATTGGGTAAGTGCAACTGTGCCAGTTTTGTTGAAGTTAATTTTGTAGAGAATGAAAAAATGTGAATTTCAAGGTAGGGCCTAAAACTGGCTCATTTGTCCTACTCATGGCTAGCACAATGATACTTATGCAAAGGGAAGTTAATAAAATGTCCAACTCAACAGATTTTATAGATTGGGCCGGGAGTCTAATCCACCGCCTTCGGTGATGATAATACCGTGCCTGATCTGTATAGTCCATCTGAGGCCAGATACACCATTATTAACTAAACTAGCTAGCCGTATATGGGACCAAACAGAAAAATATACTTTTCCCATACCGTCTCTTACTCATAATTAATTATATGTTAACTCATGCGTATGATTGAAAAAATGTGAAGAGCAAAGTTTAAGGAAATTAATTGGCTTTTTGTTAAAAATACTTTCCAGATTGAACACTCACGAAGAACATCTCAAAAAAGTGAAAATTGCTCAAATTATGCGACAAGTGAATTTTAACCTACGAGTATCTCGAAAATAACAACTTTGGGCAATTTAAGCACTATGAGCTTTTTTGTTGTAAATTTAATGTGTTTTAATATTGACACTATTTTAAAGATATTCGATAAATATTGGTAGTATTTTGGAAAATACTTATTTTTTCAATAATTCATAACTTTTTTGTTTATGATTTGCCCAGCAAATGCACAGTGTCAGTAGGTATTACTTTATTTAAACTACAAAATAAATATAAAAAAATAATTTAAATATCCAATTTGAGTAATTTAAATTTTTTTTTATAATTTTGATATATTTTTGTAAAAAAAAAAATTATAATTTTTTACAGTGTATATTTTTTCTTGAAAGGCACAATACTTGTCCGCAAATTCTTCTAAGACACCATCTCAATCAAACAAATCGTTCGCAAGATAAATGTTTTTCTATTGATGTGTATCATTTTTGTATAAGCTTTTTTCAAGTGTTAGTCGTGTACAAAACTAGGGATCCAAATATGTAAAATGGCATGTTGGGCAATAACAAACAACTGTGCAAAGTTTCAACATAATCGTAGAAGGTCGATCAAAAAATTTAAAAAAAAATCGTCATTTGAAATGGAACTACTGAGTAAGGTTTCAAGAAGCCTGCACGCTTAGAAAAGTTGATGTAAATTTAGGTGCTCTGAGACTGACATATACGAGCGTCAATTTTGACATAAAATTGAGTCATAATAGACGCAAAAATCAGCTCAATCAAATGTATTTTCAAGCTTTTCAGTCTCGGAGCACTTAATTTTACATGACATGTTTGTTTACGTCTCATCCTTTATGTCAAAGATGGATTCCGTCACGTGTAAAATTAGTTATTTCTAAGTGTGTGGCCTGTAGTGAAGTTGGCACAGTGTAGTATCCTCTAGTTACCTAGTGCAGCTCCACTATAACCGATTCCTTACTCTCTCTCCTGTTACCCATTGGCGTAGCTAATGAGAGTGCCAAGGGGGCCAGGCCCTCTCCAGAATTATCCAGGCGCCTTCCAGGAATTTTTGGTGTTTTCTTTTTATACACCGGTATTTTGTCAAGCAATTTAGGGATTACTTTTTATTTTTATTGATTTTTATGAATGTCTACTTTTCTTAATGTTCTAGACTAGAAGAAGCAATGTAGAGCCTTTATATTATATCAACATTTAATCGTTAGCATAATAAGACGTCTTCAGGCTCTTTCAATTGGCTAAGAGTTCGGGGAATTTTCATTAACCTCAGGGAACTATCCTTTAAATTTCGCGTATCTGTCAAAAGATAAGCAATTATAACGGAATTTAAAAGAAATAAACCAACCCACTCAAAGCTCTTCACTCAAGGAACTTTTTAAAACTTCAAGGACTTCTAAAAATTTCAGGGAACATCGTAAAAATTAACAAAACAAGGAACTTAATAGAGCTTCAGAAAAAATCATAGAAAATCAGGGCGCTTTGGAAAAGTTCAGAAAACTGCGCAGAAGCGTGAACTCTATTTAAGTTTTGGGATCTTCGTAGATGTTAAACATCATCCTCTGTCATCTTACACAGCTCGGTGTATGCTCATAAATATCTAAACATTAAAAGAGCGTCATGAATTTGCCATGATTTCTTTCGTAAACGATATCGTATCACATCGCATTGATTCAATTTAACTATTGTCATCCTTAAATTTATATACACCATCTAAGCATTTACGAAATAGAAATATATTTGCTACAAATCGTGGTACGAATTATGCCAAATTTGGACCCTTGAACCAAATGATGGATACATATAATAAGCACTGCGATAACATTGACTTTACAATGACAAAAACCAAATTAAAGCAATATTTTAATTCCTCGCGTAGCGTCAACTAGAAGTAATGAATTAATTTGTTCTTAAGACATATAGGGTAAATGTCGGCTTTGGCACCCATTGACTGTTTTCGGCAATCAAAATTTAAACGTTAATTTCACTATGTTTTACCATCAACACACTTCCCTGAATGTATCCAAATGATTCTTTAGTCTTTCAGCTTCAATTTGATTATATTTGTAGGACCGAGCAATCCTGTTATGCCAGATTTTTCTTCAAATGATAATACAATTTCAGTTTTAAACAGTGGTAATTTGAAAGTACAGAAGTGATGTTGAAAAGTGCATTAAGTGAAAATTTTCAAATTTCCTATCCGTTGCATGTGGTGCCGACTGTTCTAAACTACGCGTAGCTACGATCAGCTAAGTTTATTTACCTTTTCGTTCCTCTGTCCTCTGTTTCCTATATATCCATGTAATTCAAGACGATCATTTTAAAACTTACTAAATACGCGTCAATCAAGTATTGCACTACTGCTTGATTGAAAGTTTCAGTACATTATCAATGGTGTATATTTGCATCGATAATGTATTGGAGCGGGACTTAACATGTGTGAAAATAGCTTCGGAATGCTTGCGTTCATGAAATGGGCTATTGTTGCTGTGGTAGAGCTGTCACCTTCTAACTCCCGGGTTCAAGCTTCTTTGCATAAGAAATTATTGCAGGCAGATTTTATCCATAACACTACTACCAGACTATTAATAACCTTTTGCACATCAGCATGAATTGTGCATATGTTTAGGATCAAGAAACATTTTCTGGCACAAAGGAGCAACAGGATCGAGCTGATAACGTTTCTCAATTCCAAAATCTGAAGACCGTTTTGAATGATATGCCTAGGTAATGGGCAGCAACAATGGACAGATAAACAACTTACAGCTTCTGTTTATTAAATGCTTGATATAACAAATAAATTTAAAATCACCCAATAAGCTTTTGTAGAAAGAAATTCAAATAGCATCTAGCTTCAAACAAGGGCACAACCATACATGTAAGGAGTTCATTCCTTTCGAGTGGAATTAAAGTTAAATTTGGGACTTCAATTTTGATTTTATATCTAGCTCCGTGATCTCGAAAGTTAGCTTGTCCAAGGTATTGAAAAAAGTTCTAGATAAATGCTTTATAATTTTCTTTGTTCATCAAACATTAGAATCTGGAAGGCATATGGGTTTGGGATCTCAAAACTATTATTATTTAAACTTTCCGAATCTTAAGCATAGTCCATTAACATATATTTTGAACTATTTCCTATGTCCTAGATGCATTTATTTTATGTGCATATTGCGATAATTCCAAGCCACATTTTTTTTTATTATGAATGAAAAGTCCTAGAATTAAGTGTCTGAGATTTTAATGATGATTAAATATGAATCATCTAATTAAAATCTAGTAGTGTTGGCACTCCAAAGAAAAAAAAGACTCAATTTCCGTGTTTATAATCCAGGTGTATTCGTAGATGAGGCACTCACGAGAGGATTATAAAATTCGTTTAGTGATTACCGGTAGGCTTGGCAGTAATCTTACGGTAGGTTTAGCAGAATCTTACGGTAGGTTTAACTTGGAATGCCAACTATATATCAGGGTGTAAGATTAATCTTTTGCCGTGCCGTAGTTATAAACCAGAACGTTTAGGTTAAGCTAATTTTAGGAATACAATTTAGATAGATTCCATGATTATTTCTAATATATATCTTACCGTTGTAGTGTGAAAATGTAAGCGGAATTCAAAATACGATATAACTTATTACATAAGGGGTAGATTTAAGTAGGTACTCATTAATTAACAATCTCTTTATCTAATTAGTTGTACACCTTCAATTTCCCTTCACTATTGCCTTTCTAACGCCCCAAGTCCTTTCTTTTTTTTGTTTCATATATCTATCTATTCGGTCGCTCGTGTCTGTCGGTGTGCGTGGGGTAACGTTACCGGTGGAGGGAAGGCGCGCTGATAACACTCCCCCCGGGTACGCCAACTTCCGGTTGGCTTACTCCTCCTCGCGCCGAATGTCCAACACTGCCAGTTTTCTTACTGGCCGTTCGTAGATCCCGTTCGCCGTCTGCACCGTTGCGGCCCGGACGCATCCATCGTTTCCGACCCTAGTGTAAATAATTCTGCCTTTCGGCCAGCAGCTTATGGGTAACTTGAAGTCAACGATAACGACTATGTCACCAACGGCTATCGGTTTTGTGTGTGCGAACCACTTTGTCCGCCTGGTAATCTCTGGAAGGTAATCGGTTACCCAACGTTTCCAGAACTGATTTGCGAGGATCTGGGATGTTCGCCAATTCTGCCGCAATGCGGCACCACTGTCGTTCGAGCCGTCGGACGACCCGAGTAGATAATGGTTCAGGGTGAGAGCTGGTGCCGAATCGCTGTCAATCGGAACGTGCGTCAAGGGCCGGGAATTTACGATGCCCTCGACTTCGGTAAGCAGGTTACGCAGCACCTCATCTGTGGGTTTTCGAGTTACACGAAGTGCCATCAGATTCGTCTTCACTGTGCGGATCAACCGTTCCCAGCAGCCACCCATGTGTGGGGCAGCGGGAGGGTTGAATACCCATTCCGTCTCTGGGCTAACGAACTCCTTCATAATCTTCTCTTCGTCAATCGCTGTCATCGCTTCCTTCAGTTCACGACTGGCACCGATGAAATTCGTATCGCGATCGCTGTAGATCTTTCTCGGAGTGCCTCTGCGCAAGATGAAGTTGCGAAGACCCATTATGCATGAGTCTGTGCTGAGGGCGCAGACCAATTCGATATGTATAGCGCGCACTGTCAAGCAGGTAATCAACATCCCCCAGCGTTTCTCCACACGCCTGCCCAAGACTACCTCCATCGGGCCGAAGTAGTCTACTCCGACATACGTGAAGGGACGCGTGAATGCTGCAAGACGGGCTGGTGGCAAGTCTGCCATGATAGGAGGGCGAGGTATGACCGTCTCGTTTTTACAACGTTGGCAGTTTTTGCGGGCTTTGGCAAAGCCGACACGGATACGAGGAATATGAAACCGTTGCCTCAGCTCGTTGATGACGGTTTCATGATTACGGTGGTGGTATCTGTAGTGGTAGTGCTTTATTATCAGAGCAGTGATGTGGTGGTCACCGGGCAGGATTATGGATTGTTTGGCGTCATCGGTGGCAAACTGACACGAGCCAATCCTTGTTCTCATCCGCAGTACTCCTTTTTCATCCAGTCGAGGCTCTAACTGGTACAGCAGGCTGGTTTTCGAAAGCGACTTCACGGACCCAGTTGAACGTGTTTGCTCCAGGGTGGATACATCATCTGGGAAGCCTTCGTCCTGTGCAATGCGGAACAAATATTCTTCGGCTTTGCTAAGCTCCACCGTGGAAAGTGGTCCAAGATTAATCGGCTGCTGTTTCACTCTTATACGCAGGTTGGATACGTATCGGAAGACAAGAGCGACACTATTGAGGCATAACATCTCTGATCACGCCTTCCTTCGGATGGGAAGTAAAGCCGTTGGTCCCCGGTTCATGAGTTGATGAGTCGATAGATAGGTAGGGTCCAGGTGTGGAGCTGCCTTCCTGGCACGTCGGTAGCATTGGTGCTCAGCACGGAAAACAAGATCGACGGAAAAAAACAAACCAAAGGAAAAAAAAAGAGCGACACTATTCCGTAAGCATCTCCAGCTCGAAAATTTGATCACGCGGATAGGCGTGCAGTGAGAGACCGTCGGAGAAGGGCCCGTGCGATGTAGCAGCAAGCGGGGGCGAAGTTCGGTGGCTATTCGCGTGCGAAGTGGAGGTGTTTGAGGCCACTTCGATTCCGGGAGCCATAGAAAGTCCGGACCAATAAACCACCTGCTCTCCAGAGTGAGGTCAGGCGTTTCTTCCCACTTAGTCCCGTCATCAGCCACGTTGAGTTTTGTGGGAACCCACCGCCATTCTTCTGGTTCGGAGGTTTTGAGAAGCTCACTCACTCGAAAAGCTACAAATTGTGAGTAGTGGCGGTGATCCGAATTTATCCAGTGGAGCACGTCTCTGGAATCTGTCCAGTACACCCGGCAAGTTATTCGGAAGGAGAGAGAAGTGATAATTGTTTGCGCAAGCCTTGCACCGAGAACCGCCGCTTGCAGTTCCAGTCGTGGAATCGAAAGTAATTTCAATGGGGCCACTCTTGTCTTCGAAGCGACTATCGAGCACATCGTGGATCCGTTGAAACCAAAGCGAAGAAAGGCCACTGCAGCGAATCCCTTTTCGCTGGCATCGACAAATGTGTGAAGTTGAATGTTCGTACAGCTGTGTAGCGAATGTGACCAACTGTAACACCGTGGTACCCGCAGGGTTTCCACTTGCGGCAGAATGTTCGTCCACTGTTGCCACTTTTTGTAGAGGTCCCCTTCGATATTTTCATCCCACTGTACGTTTGCGCGCCATACATGTTGAAGCAGGATCTTTAAGAAGATGATGAAGTGGACCAAAAGCCCCAATGGATCAAAGATCGTCATAAGGACTCGAAGCATTTCCCGTTTGGTGGGTGGTCGCTGGCCGGTTAGGAGAAGTGGATCGTAGCGTGTCCATCCGACTTTGAACATGAACTCATCCGTCTCCGTATGCCACCACATGCCGAGAACTTTCTCCATGGCTACCTCGGGTAAAAGATCCAGATCCTTCTCCACAGTGGTTCCTTCTTGTAGAGAAGCGACCACTTGTTTGGAGTTGCTTATCCAGTTGCGGATTTCGAAACCACCCTGCGAGTGAACGTATTTGGCTTCTTCGGTTAACCGAACTGCTTCACTCTCTTCGTCTACGCTCACCAATATATCGTCCACGTAGTGACGTTTCGTAATGGCCTCTACGGCGATTGGATGCGTCGCTGTGAACCGTTCTGCGTTGAGGTTTTTTATGTATTGCGCACAGCTTGGGGAACAGCAGGCGCCGAAGCTCATAGCCTGCAACACGTAGACCGACAGCTCACTATTCTCGTCTATCCAGAAGAATCTGTGGCATTGCTGGTCTTCGTCCCAAATCGCCACCTGATGAAACATCTCACGGATGTCCCCGGTCAGCCCGATTCGTCCCTGGCGAAACTGAAGCAGGATGACCAATAGCGAGCACAGTAAGTCAGGCCCCTTCAAGAGAGCGGAATTTAGCGAAACACCAAACGTTTTAGCTGCTGCGTCCCACACCAGCCTGACCTTCCCGGGTTTGTCACCGGGAACACAGGTAGGTACCAAATCCGGGAATATTTTTGATTGATCTCCTCCGGCGTGAGCTTCCTGGCGTACCCTTTCTCTACGTAGTCAGCGATCATACGATCGAGCGCCTCCGCAGGCTCCGGATCTCTCTTCATGCGCTTTTGAAGATGTTGATGGCGGCGCAGAGCCATCTCTCGGTTGTCGGGCAACCGGATGTTGTCATGACGCCACAACAATCCCACTTTGTAGCGGCTTCCGTCGAATATAGTCAACGATTGGAGAAGTTGTTGAGCACGTTGATCCTCCGCGGAAATGAGAATCTTGTCCGGTTTCGCCACACCGAGACTGTCTAGAGCAAAGTACGACTTCATGGCTTGGTGTAGTAATTCGTCCGATTCTTGATCCTCAGCGATCATGTGGACCATACACTGAGCTGAAGCTGCAGCGTCATTGCCATTCAGCCCTCCACAGATCGTCCAGCCAATCCGAGTCTTGATGGCTATCGGGTCCTCAAGCTTTCCTTCTTTACATTTCAGGACCATTCCAATCGAGGCATGCCGCATACCAATCAGAATGCGTGGTCGAGCATCACGGTACGAATCAATCGGTAATCCACGAAGATGTGAATAAATTTCTCCTAGCTTGGCTACATTCAGGGTTTGAAGCGGTAGTTGAAGTTCCTTCACCGTTCTAACGGTCGCGAGGGGGAATTTTTTGTCTTGGTGGTGAATTCCAGCGATATCGAGACAAACGATACGAGACCTCTTCTCGTTACGCTGCGTTCCCCCGGTCCATTGAAGACACAGCGGTTGTACAACACCTCCAAGTTGTAGTTCGTTTGCCAACTCCTGGTCAATGAGCGTTAGTTCCGATCCTTCATCGAAGAATGCAAACGTTTGAACGGTTCGATTCTTCCCGTGTAGCATCACTGGCAGATAGCGAAACAGAACGTTACTGGAATTCGTTCGGTGAACGTTGCAGTCGTGCGACCGTTTGCTGGATCCTTCTTGACACGTTTGTGGAGCCGTGGACTGTGGAGAAACACTCGTGGCCGGTGGCACGATCCTTTGTTCGTTGTGAAGCAATTCGTGGTGCTTCAATGTACATCCTTGCTTTCCGCATAGTTTTGTTTTGCAGGCACCGTTGGGGCTACGAAGACACCTGCGGCAGAGTCCGTGCTCTCTAACAGCAGCCCATCGAGAATCCCTGGAGAGTTCTAGGAATCGCTTGCATTTCTCGATCGTCCTGCACCCACCTCTGCATATCGGGCACGACTCGATGCTTGCTTGCTTCTTTTCTTTGTCTGGTTTCGTTGAAGCCGAGAACGGTGTATCGCCGGACGTCTCGGAGTGTGCGTTTAGAAAGGCGTTTCCTTTCTTGAATCCACGGGAGTCAATACGGATTGATTTTGCTTCCTGTTGTGGGGTTGTAATCGTGCTGGCAGCCTCGGCCAACGAATAAATCCAGTTTCCAAACCCAGCCAGGTTCACGTTTGGAATAGTTTGTCTGTAACGAGCCCAGTCCAGTTTTATCGTGGGCGGGAGCTTAGCGACGAGTTGGTGCAACATCGAAATGTTGTATAGATACTCCTCTGAGCCGCATGCGTCGACAGTCGCACAGAAGTTTCAGACACTGACGGCGAAATCGATGATTTGATATCAATGAGTGTACAATTGACTCCGGCTGCCCGAACAGCATCCGCAGCGTATCCATCACTTCTCAAACGTTAGACGGATGCATGAGTAAACATTTTACCGCCTCATACGCCTTTCCCTTCAAGCACTTCTGCAGTCGAATGATGTTTTCTTCGTCGGTGAATCCGCACATCGTCGTGGTGCTGTTGAATGTCGACAAAAAGACTGGCCACTCTTCAGGATGGCCCGAGAATGTGGGCAAATCCTTCGATATTGCCTGTCGAGCAGTGAGCTGTTGATTGTTCAGCAAATGATACTGTCCGGAGACTACCGGATAACACGGGTTGTGCCTTGCAGTGGGATGCGGGATACTCTGTGGCCTTGGAAAGAACGGGAATCGATCAGCAGAAACTGGAGCTGGTAGCGTACAACTACCGGATAGAATGTTGTTATCGGGAAATCCACTAACATGACTGGGAGTGCACCGTGGAAGTGGGCGTAAGCTCTGCTGAGACGATACAGCTTGGTGACCGGACGAGATTGGCTGATCTGCAGCTACGACGTTCCGATCCGGATTCGGAGGAACTACAGACAACCTCCCTTTTTCGAGCAACGTGTTGTTTTGCTTCACCCATTCGTTGACTCTGCTGCCCCCGCCGTACGATGATCCGCCTTGCTCGCTCATTTGTTTGAGAATGCTGTATTTCTTCTGTATGAATTCACGCTCAAGAGCATTTTCTTCCTGCAGCTTCTGCAGTTGAAGTTTCAGCAGGGATCGTCGAGAGCAGTTAGATGATCTAGTTGAAAGTGCCTTGGCCAATGGCCTGTCGTTCGTTACCGTTGGTACTACCACAGTATTTATAGGCGTTGGAAGCGGCTCCGGTGGTATAACTCGTGAAACGGTTGCCATCTTTTTGGAATTCCTGGTTACCCGTGACGTTGTAGATTTCACAGGTTCGTTCTTCTTCAGGGGAAGTACTCTTTGGTCATCCGGCTTGTGCTGTTGTCCCCGATTTTTTACACCTCTCGTTGTTGGAATTCGTTGATCGGTTGTTGGAATTGTTTGCTGGACCTCGGTTGCAGGTGCGCACTTGAGACAGCTCCAGCTCCTATCCTCAACCTCCTCCGTCACTCGAACACAAGCGTAGTGATACCAATCGGGGCAGAGGTCACACTGAACCATGTCGTTGGTGTCAGGTCCTCTGCATTTTGTGCATGCCCGGCCTGCGAGAGTTTCTTCCACTGCGTCCGGTACGATCTCCACTTGAACACCACCACACGCACCATTCTCACTATTTGTACCACCTTTCGCTTACGACTGCACCCTTTCGGAACCACTATCCGCGGGCGGTTTATTCGCACTGCGGCTTGACATAATCGATTGATTCGATTAAACGAATTTTATAAGATGTTGGCACTCCGAAGAAAAAAAAGACTCAATTTCCGTGTTTATAATCCAGGTGTATTCGTAGATGAGGCACTCACGAGAGGATTATAAAATTCGTTTACTACCGGTAGGCTTGGCAGTAATTGTGAACCTTACGGTAGGTTTAACTTGGAATGCCAACTATATATCAGGGTGTAAGATTAATCTTTTGCCGTGCCGTAGTTATAAACCAGAACGTTTAGGTTAAGCTAATTTTAGGAATA